ATTGCTGTAAATCTATTTCCACTGGTCATGGTAGGCACACTGCTATAAAAAGCTCCTTGAGAATCTTGATGACTTGACACAATATAGATTTACTTCTCACTCATATTGCAAACTAGTGTGGGTTGGAAGGGGGTTCTAGTACGCATGGATAAACAGGTTTAGACTCCTTCGGATTGGATTCCATTGTCTCCTTGGAGTTCTCTGTTGCATCCTCTAAGACAAGCTTCAAAATGAAGAAAAAGTGGATATGGAGGATTGTGCAGAAGGTTTTTATAAGCCAGGACTGGAATGATATGCACTATATCCAGCTATAATCCACTGGAAAAAGGCAGTTACGTGGTTGTCCCTAACCACAAAGGAGGATAGAAAATGACATCTTGCTATATGGTTAGAAGAAAAATGAATGATTACATGAACAATTATTCAGTCTCTATCATTGGCCCCCATTCTGGTCATCAAATAGTTTTTTAACTCTCTCCTCACATTGGCAACCCATAGGGACAACCCAAAGTCCCTCAGAGCCCCACCCAGTTTCTGTGCTTATATTAAATCTAGGATCTCCAAGGTATACATGGTCCTCTCCATCAAATCCAGATGTGGCCCCTTTCAGTCTAGAGATCTGTGGCTTTGGATTAAAAAGCTAATTTACCTACTCCCCACCCTCCTACCCAATATAAACCCAACATGGAATGATGAGTTAGGGGCAGGGTATTCTCAGCAGAAACTCCCATTTAGAAAGGAATAGAAGGGAGCTGCAGTAACATTGGCCCTAATCTAGACAGTCATTAAGAAAGCTCCCTCCCCTGAGGTAGCAGAGGTGCTTTCATTAGACCCTAATTTTGCTCCCTGGGAAGAATTCCTTTGTCCTTCATTCACTATGGCTGTTGATTCAGTGCTTTACAGTGTTTTTTCTAGTCAGTAATCTCTCTATCCCTGTCTGAAGGGAGCCCTGGATTATATGTCTTTCTTACAGGTTTTATAGGAGTAAAGGAAGTCCAGTGGTTGCTTTACACTTTGGAAAGTCCAGACTCATGATTTCCTTGGCAATACAATTATTTCAAACACTTCATAGGCTTTTGGTATACTTGCCACCAGTCAATTCCATGTGCCAGTAACCACACCCAGAGTTCTTTCCTAGATATAGTCCTCAAGTCTGATATATTTATTGCCTTCTTTTCCTCCATGATTTCCTTCCTCCTTGTCTCTCAATCTCTCTCTCTTTCTCTCCCTCTACCCCCCCCCCACTCCCTTAATGGTGGCCACCATGAAGTTATCTGAAACAATGGAAAGAAGAACACACACTCAATCTGATTTTTTTTTTTTTTGAAGGGCTAAGACACTTTGTTCAGTTGAGGAATGTTACTAGATCTTAGTCACTCAAGACCTGTTTAAAAATCATACCTTTTGGGATAAAGAAACAGTTCATTTCTCCAACTCTGATGCCCAAAATTTCTGGACTCTTTATAAACTCTTCCACTGTAGCTTGTAAACTGGTCAGTTCATTGAGCTTATCTTTTTTTCTTCCTCCTCCCTCCCTCCCTCCATCCCTTCTTCTCTCCTTCGTTTCTTTCTTTTCTTTATTTTGTGGTACTCTGTCAATAAGAGCCAATCATAATCACATTCTTATGAACACTGTGATATTTTTCATTGACTTCACCTGGAGTACAATTGCAGTGCACATATGCAAACTGCCACCCAAATTAAGGGAGGTAACAGTTTTACCAAATGTTTCACCACTACATAACGTGGGTTAGGATTATTCCAGCCATTGATGTCAGTTTTCTCACTGCCCATACTCAACTGCTAAGCCAATGTCATTTATTTGGGGGTTTTGTTTTGAAAGACCCCCCCCCCACTTCAAGACACCAGTATGTGTGTTGTTTAATAAAACAATCAGAATGATATTTATTTCTTGCTTATGTTGGCAGGGTGTGTTCTGCTCCACACCTTCATTCTGGAACCCAAGTTTCTTCTATCTACTGGTTCCAAGATTCCCTTGGAGTTCCCAGGCCTTTGAGCTTCTTACTAGATTCTTTGCATTCATTTGGCAGATGAGGAAAGAAAGGCAGGTTGGATGATTGAGTAAGAGGTTTTTATGGACCAATGAAGTATATACCACTTATGTTCACATTCCCCTAGCTTTATCTAGCTGCAAGACAGCCTGGGTTATAAAGTTTATCTGTATCCTAGGGAGAAAAGAGAAGTGGTTTGAAAAATAACTAAGCAGGCTTTGCATATTTTATCTTTGAAATGAGGAGAATAATAATATATACCTTATTTGATTGTTTTGTTTCTTTCTAAATGTTGTGTTCTTCCCAAAATAAAGTAAAACTTTTTTAAAAAACCATGCCATTCTTTTGTTAAAAAAAACCACCTGTGAAATTATAAAGGATATAGACAGAGAATCTAACTTTTTTACCCAAAAATAATATTTTAATAAAATAAAAGTTAATTTTTTCTGAGTACTTACTAAGTTTTACTGTGTAAATTCTAAATATACATAAATTGTCTTAATTAATTTCTCTTTAGCAATCCAATTAATTAGTTACTATCTTTGACTTTGTTTTATAGCTAAGGAATCTGAGACATGCCCAAAGTCACGTAGCTAATACATGACAGGGCCAGGTTCAAGACTGGCTATTCTAACCATTATATATCACTGCCTCATAGTGGCATGCCTGAAGAATGTAAAACAAGCAACCCCTACTCAGGCCAGGAGAGGAACCCGCCTCCTATTGACCAATCCAAAATCATCCCAGGGAACAGCTCTTCCTCCAGGACTACAACTCAACTATCTCAGTGTATTAAAGACTGTGATCCAGAACCCCACTCATTAACCCATATTAATGTGCCATAGTTTGTCAGGAAATCTTTTGGCTAACAGAAATTCTTCTCTCTCTAGTTGAAATTCATTTCCTCTGGTGTTCTTTGCAGTAGAGATTAAAAAAATAAGGCTGGGTGTGGTGACTCAAGTCTGTAATCCCAGCATTTTGGGAGGCCAAGGTGAGAGGATTGCCTGAGCCCACGGGTTCAAGAATAGCCTGGGTAACTTGGTGAGACCTCATCTCTATATTAAATCAAAAAATTAGCTGGGCATAGTAGTGTGTGCCTGTAGTTCCGGCTACTTGGAAGGCTGAGGCATAAGGATCACCTAAACTCAGCAGGTCGAGACCAGAGTGGCCGTGAGCATGTCACTGCACTCCAGTCTGGGCAACACAGTGAGACTCCAACTCAAAAAAAAAAAAAAAAAAGATCAGGAATACATCACCCTCTGTACAGAGGTCCTCATCTTCCTCAAGTCGTTACTAAGTTATACACTCTCTCTGTGTCTCTTCTCTTTTGCTCTTTTTCTCTCTCTCTTCGCTCTCCTTTCTTCCTCTCTCTCTCTCTCACACACATACACACACACCCTGCAATGTCTTTTCTAACCTTTTTTGTTATCATAATTACTAATTTTCAATTCTCAATACAACTTGGTGTTCTCCAACATTCTCTGAGAAGTAGCTGTTGTTTTATCTTGTAACCTCCCCCAACAATCTTTTAGGCTTTGAACCTCAAATTTCTTTCTTCTTGTGAAAAACAGTCTTGATTAATTTATTGAAAATAGCATTTGCCATGCATCTTCAAAGCATTTCCTTTTCAACAGGAAATGTTACTAAGCAGATATTAAAAATAAAAGTAATCCTTATCATATGAAAAAGAAATTGATTCTTGCATCTGGATCTCTGCCAGGTATAGTCATTAATACCTGGAAATTCTGAAATAAATTGGTAATCCTCTCTCCATCTGGGGTCAATTAAAGCCTAATGACCCCCTTCAACTTCCTAGGTGACAAAATCATTCCATCCTAGGAGGACACTCTTCCTCACTCTCTTCTCATTACTACTCTTCCCCTCAAGATTGCTGACGACCATTGTCAATCTGAAAATAGTCCAGTTTCTCCAAAATTCCCATTTTCTTTGTATGACAGTACATTAGAAAAGATCTGCTGGGCTGTATGTTAATGGGAGCCACAGCTTAAATCAGGCCATACTTGGGTCTTTCATGGGTTTCATCTAAATATGCTTTTCCTATTCCCCTTTGAGTGACTCTATTATTTTCAACCTGTAGATATAATCCTTTATTTTGTGGTTTCCTCAGCATCAATACTTTCTTCTTTGTTTTCAACGGGATCGATCAATTCAATTGGCTTTATATCTATGTAACCTTTGGTTGGTATATTTTGAGTCTTTTTTTTTTCCTATAGCCTGAGTCCACAGATTAACTTTTTTTATATGAAAATAAAAAGCCATTCATTTATACAAAGTGTTCCTAAATGGTGGAAGAAATGGGATCACAGAATCTATGTATATATATAATCATTAAGAGTTCAGAAATTAAGCTTATGTTAAGAAAACTTATTCTTTTCTTTGGAGGAGAGGTTGCAAAATGGTGATTTGTAATAAAAATATTGTGTACAAAAACTCCAAAACCAAGTATTAGTCCAAATTGGCAATAACTGCAACTTAAGTTAAAAAACTATGCCCAACTAGATCTTTACTGTGATTATGCAACTTTTTGGTTTGTGGCCTGCAGGTTTTAACTGAGGTAATAACCTCTTTATCTCTTCCCCCACTACAAAAAACAAAAACAAACAAGCAAACAAAATCTCTACAGCTTCATTCTTCATGGCTGTCTTTGGCAATGCTTCCAAATCTTGAAAGCAAAATAATCTACAGAAGAAAATGAGGAGGGCGAAGATGCTATATGTGATGTATGAAAATCAATCTAAGCGTATGAACTGAAAAAGAAAATACTAGAAGGAAGAAAGAATGAGCAGCAGTCTACCCTCAAGAAAAACAGAAAAATAAAGAAGTGGGGGGTTGTTACTCCTCTGGCCCTTCTTCCACATTTTCTCTAAGTAGAGGAGTGTGGAGCCAAAATTTCAAACTCTGGAAAGGTTATGACTTTGGAGGAGGAGTTAGGGAAGTGAATAAATGACAAAAAGTACAGTAGTAGCTTTAGTTTTCAATGAGTTTCTTTGCTCTGGCATTGGTAATGTCAATTCGATCTTTGTTGGTATCAACCTTTTCTGTGATCTGTTCTATTTGTCGATTTTGAAATTCAATCTCATTGCCCATGTCTAGGGCCATGTTTTTAGATTTCCCAGGATACTGCCCACTTGAGTCAGGTTTTCTTCCATTTCATCTTCTCTAGTATCATTAGTTATACGTTTAATGTATCCACTGCTGGCTGCTCCTGTAGTTGGTTGACCATTTGTTATCCGGCCTGGCTGTTTAGATACCACATTGCTAGGTGAGTTGTCTCCACCATCTCCCCATGTTGTTTTATAGGCCTTACCAGACTCAAAGTTCTTTGTTCTATTACATGGGCATACACAAAGGCCACAGCACTTGTTGAGTTCTGTTAAAGTCTTCTCTGCCTCTCTCATGTCTTTATTTATTTGGTCCATGCCTTCTTCTATGCGGTTTAGTTGTTCCCCTTGTTCATCCAGCATAGTGATGGTCTTGATTCCTGCATCGTGAGACTCAATGGCCAAACCCAGAATTCTCCTTGTACTTTCCAGAGACTCATCAGTAACCTGGTGAGCCCTCTGCTGAATTTCTTCCGATGACAGATTATCCATGATGGATCAAAACTCAATCATGCACAGAAATGGAAATGTGAATATTCAGTTTCTGTCTGCCTATGTAGCTTTCTCAAGCAGTAATCCACAGATTAACTTTTATAGAAAGAAGAGTGGTCTCTTCAGGAATGAGATGAGTCTCACTTATGATTCCTGGGTACAAAGGTGGGACTGAAAGGCAAAGAATGTGTATGTGGGGTTGCTCTGGATGGAGACACAAAAGTGTAATGTTTGGAGATACCGAAGAGGCACAGGACAAAGGGCCGGTATAAACCAACCGTTTATTGGGGGAGAAACTCCCGGGTGAGGTCCCATGGTCTGGAAAGATGGGCCAGGGGAGTCACGCCCAAGGAGGGGCAGGCTTGGGTTTTTAAGGGTGCTGTATTTGGGAGGGTGTTGGGGGCGGCAGTGAAGTGGGGAGACAAAGTGTCATATACGGCGTGGGCTGGAAAGTCTCTGTCTGGCCCTTCTCGGCAGCTGCTGGCATGTTCCAGGAAGCTCTAGGCGAGGTATGCGGTTGTGGGTTTGAGGTGGAGGGTCGCATAGGGGATCGGTGGGTGGAGGGGCAGATGGAGGAAGGTGAGTGCTGCTTCCCTCTGAGCCTATCATCCTGACCTCTTTGGTATAAGGGGTGTTGACTCGATTTGGCTGCTTCAAGCTGAAAAGGGGTGTAGTTTTAGGGAGGGCTAGGATGGGGTGGCTTGGAGGGAAGTGGGGCATATGGATAGGGGTGCAGGAGTAGCTGATTGCGACGCGAGACGTTTCCTTCATGCAAGACTGTAAAAAATTAAACAGACAGGGTGCAACCATAAGTAAAAGACAGATAAGTAGAACAGGTCCCAAGAATGGCATGACCCATTGGGCGATGCCTGAGTTCCACCAAGCAGAGAAGGGCCATTCTGCGGTGTTTTTTTGGCAAAGTTCGTTTCCCAGCTTTCGGAGGACATTGACATTTTCCTTTACCAGCCCTGTTTTATTAATGTAGAAACAGCATTTTTCCTGGAGAAACATGCAGGTTCCACCCGGCCGGTTGTAAGGAGATCAAGGGCCCTGCGGTTCTGTAAAGTAAACCGGGCTAGAGAGGTTATTTGCCACTGCAGGAATGCCAGGGAGCTTGCGGATGCTTCCAGAGCGGCTTGGAGCCTTCCTTCCAGATTTTGGGAAGAAAGGATGCTGTGTCCCAGTGCTTCCCCACCCAGCCCTCCAGCTGCCAAGGACGTGGCAAAAGTGAGACCGAGCATGAGGGGGAGAAATGCCACACAGCCGGTGCGGCGGGGAGTGGGAAAGGCTTTGAGTAAGAGTTCTTCTTCAGAATAGAACATAAGCTGTGGCACAAGCGTTACTGGATAGCAACAAGGGTAAGAATTATTGATAGACTTGAAGAGGGTGCCGTTACACCAAAAGAACCCACCCCTTGGAGCAGATAGAGTAGATGGCACAGGTCTGGAGATGTTGCATGTGCAGGAGCTGCCATAACAGATATTAGAGAGGTTACTGAGGGACTGGAACAAAGGAACTCCAGGGATAGGAGGAGGCTGGTTGACTGGCCCACTAGAGGCATTGAACAATTGTGTGACAGGAACTGCTGTTAAAGGGGAGCGGTTTAGAGTGGCACAAAGGAAGCAGTTACTTACATTCCCAACCAAAGAGTGGTTGAGTAATGAGATACCTTCTTGTATTAAATGGAGTCAAGAGAATGGAGAAGGGTGGTCGGCACTGGGCGGGGGGTGGAGTTGGTTAGCCAAAGAAGTTTCTGCTTCTGCAATAAGGCTGGGAAGTTTTTTAGGGGGACGAAAAACAAGGCGGTATGTTCAGAAAATGCGGAGCTTTCCTGATGGTTTGGAGTTTAGCCAGAAGTTGTAAACAATTCTCTCAACCCCCTGTGCCCACCTGGGGTGCCAGGGATCAGAGATGGTGAAACGGGTTAGTTTTCCCGGGTGGGTGAGAGGGTAGACCTTGTGCATTTTGCACCAATCATATGCACAACCCCCATATGTCTGAGGCCACCGGTTACATTTGGCATTAGTTTGGTCATATTGGAAACAGAAGATCGGGGTTGGGGTTGCACCCAGACTGATGGAGTTCATGCTGCCTATTGAGATGTAGATGGTGACTGGTGCCTGGCATCCCAGGGGCTGGCACAGTCCGGTGCCTGTACCCACAACCTGAGTAATGACTTTACCGTAAGACTGGGCTGTTTCTTCAACATAAAACTGCCAGCAGTAGCCATCATCCGGTGGTGTTTTGTGTGAGAGAGGCAGTAGGACTAGAGTGAGTAGCAGGACCCCGGGTGAGGTGAAGATGGGTAGGTCCCACCTGTTGACATTGCCAAGGGGCATCTGTGGCTGGGGCCAATTTGAGACGGGAGACATGATATCAGGAGGAATGTCCCAGTAATTTGGCAGCTGTGGGGGTGGTGAGGACCACTGTGAACGGGCCAACCCACCCGGAGGGTAAGAGCTTGAGGGGACAGTTTAAGTAGAACTGAATCCCCCGGTTGGAGGGCCATACAAACCGGATTTGATGGGTTGTCAGGAGTGACTGTGGGAAGAGTTCGTTCCACGTGCTCCCTTAGCAACTGCCTAAGCAGAGATAAGTAAGGCAAGTAGGAAGCAAGTGGAGGTGGTGAGGAGGGTAGGTTGTGATTGACTAAAAAGGGCCTGCCATACAGCAGTTCAGAAGGGCTGAGACCCGACAGAGCCCTTGGAACCGCCCTTATCCTGGAGAGGGCAAGTGGGAGGAGGGCAGACCAGCCGAGTTTTACCTCTAGGGTGAACTTGGTGAGGTGTGTTTTTTTGTTTGTTTGTTTTTTGAGCTGGAGTCTCACTCTGTCACCCAGATTGGAGTGCAGTGGGCGCTCCCGGCCACCGCAGCCTCGACCTGCTGGAGCTCTGGCGATCCTTCCACCTCAGTCTTCCAAGTAGCTGGAACTACAGGCATGTGGTACCATGCCCGGCTAATTTTTTGATTTTATGGTAGAAATGAAGTCTTGCCAAGTTGCCCAGGCGGGTCTTGAACCCACGGGCTCAGGCAATCCACTCACCTCAGCCTCCCAAAGGCACGGGATTACAGGCTGAGCCACCGAGCCTGGCTTGAGGAGTGTTTTTAAAATGCCGTTCGCCCTCTCTACCTTACCGGATGACTGTGGGCGGTAAGGGGTGTAGAGTTTCTAGGTAACTCCCAGGCTAGCAGCCACCTGCTGGACAACCTTGGCGGTGAAGGCAGGTTCGTTGTCTGTCTGGATGTTGGCTGGGAGGCCAAACCTAGGGATGATGTGTTCCAGAAGGACTGTGGCCACAATGTCAGCCATTTCCTTGGCTGTGGGGAAGGCCTCGATCCAGCCTGACAAGGTATCCACTAGAGTGAGCAAATACCGAATTTTTTTGTGGACAGGCATATGGGTGAAGTCAATTTGCCAGTCCTCAGCTGGGAGATGGCACCTCATCTGGTGAGTGGGAATACGGGGTGCAATCCTCCCTGTGGAGTGACGGCAGAACAGACTGAGCATGCGGTATGAACCTGAGAGATAAGCCTTTTTAAACCCGTTAGATGGAATACAGGAGAGAGAAACCTATACATGGCCTCAGGTCCGATGTGCAGAGAGCAGTGGGCTTCTGTCAAAATATGGGAGGCCTGATTTTGTGGTAGCGCAACACGATCCCCCAGCATGATCCAGTCCTGCTGTGTGACATGGCCCCCTTATTTAATAGGGACTGCCGTTCCTCAGGGAGGTACTGGGGTTGCAGGGAGGGAGAGAGGAAGAGGAGGGGGAATGGAGGTGCGACCTGGGTTAGTCCCTTAGCGGCAGTCTGCCCAGGCATTGCCCTTAGCCACTGGATCCTGTGAAGTTTGATGGCCTCGACAGTGGACAATGGCAACTTCCCATGGGCTCTGCAGGCCTGGAGTAGTTTAGAAATTAGTTTGGCATTGGTAATGGGTATGCCCTTAGTGGTAAGATATCCTCTTTCCTTCCAAATGGCGGCATGGGAATAAGCAATGAAGAAGGCATATCGGGAGTCAGTGTGGATGGTTACCCGCTGCCCTTTAGATAGTTTGAGAGCCCATGTAAGAGCAACAAGCTCTGCTTTTTGGGACGTGGTGCCCAGAGGAAGGGGCTGGGCCTCAAGAACAGAGTCAGCAGAGACTGTAGCATAGGCCGCCCGCCATTGGCCTTGCTGGGTGCAGACAGAACTACCATCCACGAACAGAGTGAGATCTGGGGACTGAAGTGACTGATCTGAGAGTCCATCCCTGGGCAGAGTTAGGGCCTCCACCACCTCCGGGCAAGAGTGGGTAGGCGCTGCGTCAGAGGAGGGGAGAGGGAGTAGGGACGCTGGGTCAAGGGGTGGTGAAGCCTTTAGAGTTACCCCCGGGTTGTCCAGGAACAACAAATGGAACTCCTGTATCCTGGAGGGGCCTAGGAGAGAGAGCACCCGATGTCCGAACAGTTCATGGACTCTGTGAGGGGAGAAGACAGTGATATGGTGATGTAAGGAAAGTTTTAAAGCCTCCTTGGTTAGAACAGCGGCCACCGCTAGTGCCCGTAGGCAGGGTTGCCACCCCTGAACAGTGGTATCAAGCTGTTTGGAGAAGTAAGCTACCGGGCGGTGGGAGGGGCCCACCAGGTGAGTTAGGATGCCCACAGCTATTCCATGGCACTCATCTGTGAACAAACAGAAGGACTGAGAGGGGTTAGGGAGACACAGCGGTGGTGAAGACAGAAGGGTGTCGCGGAGAGCAACAAACACTCCCTCAGCGGGGGGAGGTGAGGGGCCCCGTAGGCATTTGTTTGGTGGCCGCATACAGAGGTTTGGCTAACAGGGCGAATTAGGGATCCATTGCCTGAAGTACCCCACAAAGCTCAAAAAGGAAAAGAATTGGTTACTATTTCCTGGGGGTGTCAGCTGCCGTATAGCGTGGAGGTGGTCCATTGTTAGGGCCTTAGTGGTTGGAGTAAGGCGGACACCAAGGTAGACGACTTCAGGTTGTGTGAGCTGGGCATTCTGGGGGGA